GGCCCGAAATTGATAGCCTTTGCATCTAGCAGGTATTGCACATCATCTCTGAATGGTTTACAATCTTTAGTTGAATGGCCTAGCGCCCCAGTATGGTAATTACATCGAATTCCTTCACCATATGTGATGAGGGCTTTATCAAGCGAACTTGCATAAATTGCATCACAAAGTATCTTCCACCATAGAGAAGAAATGCCAACCATCTTCTATCACACAGAAGAGAAATCCATCCGCTGAATTCTGGAGCGTCTCCCACTACACAAAAGAAGCAACATCTTCTATTACATAGAAGCGACATCTGACAACTATACCAAAGAATCTTCTACTACACAGAAGAAAGTAAACTCTGAATATAGTATTCGACCTTTGAGGTATTTTTCTTCTACACAATAGCATATATCCAAGAACTCGATATCTTATACTTCTTCACCACAGAAGCATCACCCCATCTTATACTTACATATAAGAAGCATCCAGCTGAGGAAAAAGAGTCTAAAATGGTTTTCCAAACATGGACTGAACCTTGGAAAAGAATCCAAACAAGTACCAAAATTCATACTTCAACCCCTTGCAGTATTCAATATCCTAACCAAGTGCCCCAGAATGGGAGACACACCTAGCATTTGTATCGGAGTCAGGAGAGCAAATTGTTGGAGGATGACCCAAAGCACGAAGCTTAATTAACTGAGTTTCCAACACACAAGGAAGTAACTGGATACAAGGCATTGAGATTGTATCAACCTGCTTCTTAAGCTTTCTCTGTCTCTGCTGGTAAGTTTTACCCCATGGGTTCACTTGGAAACCAGAAACTAGCTACTAGCAAGAAAATCCGAGAACACGAAGCTCTGGGTTAGGCCCACATAATATCTCATGATTTGAAAAAAAAGTCCCATAGGCTGGGGATGAATGACAACTCCTGTTGCAACAACGTATACAAGATCACTTTTCTTTGTCGACACTGTCTTCATAAATTCTGTACCCGACTCAACCGAGTCTTCAACTGGTTATCCTTTCTTCCTTAAGGATTTCAAACCACGGGCCATTACTTGCATGTCCATGATAGACAACCCCATATGATTCTTTTCATCTCATCCAATTCCTCACAGAGCTGTTTCATAACTTGAATCTGATCACAGAGTGGCGAGAAGTCAAGATTCACAATTCTAAAGAGAAAATATCAGGCCTAAATAAGGATTCCCCATTTTGAGTACCTTCTGAGTACCTTCTATGGATGCATAAAGATGCATTAAGATGAGTGAGAGAATTCCTCTTTTGATACGATTAGGACATCACAGTCTCCAGATTGATCTCGCCTTGGACCTTGTCTCTAGATGACGTACCATCTTCAATCGAACGATCAATTTCCGCAGGATAATATGCGTAGAGGATTCTTTCAGGAGAACAAATTAATGCTTTTCCAAGCGAATCGATATAAACTGCATCATCAGTATTACTACGCCACAAAAACTTAATACAGTCTGTCTTCTATAAAAAAAGATACATCCACCTGGTGATAAAGAATGTGGTAATTGGCCAAAATAGGAATTGGACCTTTGGAATGATGCCAAACAGGTGCTTGGATTTATATTTCAACCCATTTGTAATCTTTAATATCAAAACCGGGTACCCCAGAATAGGGGATGCATCTAGCCTGTGTATGGTAATCAGAAGAGATGTTTGTGGGAGGAAGACCTCAAAGATCAGAGCTGGAAAACTGGGAATAATAGGATGTAATGGATTGGGCTCGCATCAATATGCTCATCAGGATTCTTGTGTCTTGGCTTAAAAACTCTACCCCATGAATTCACTTGGGGAATAAGGACTAGCTCTTGTTGAACAATTTAGGGAACACAAAGTTGGGGAATGCCCCTGAATGAATAGTCGGATGCCCCAGTGTGACAACCACGTCTGACGTTGGTCAACAAGAACGAGGCACTGATATAAGATCCTATAGTAAATTGGAATCATCTGCTGATAAGATGTTCCAATAACTCAGGATTGCGTAGCACTCCATAGTTGGAAGAAATTCCCAAAAGAAGATGAGGTGAAGAGAGAACTTGCTGCAGCCATAAGTTTATTGATCATCATTAGAGCTTCCATGACCTGGTTCATCTGAGTCTTTAATCAATTATCTTCCTGTTCGAAGAAATTTCTGACCACGAGCCAAAGCTTGCATGTATACCATACATAGTTATTCCCTAACTGATCCCTGAGCACGTGGTAGTAAGAATCACGTTGAACCTCTGAGGAGAACAAATGGTCTGAGCAAGAATCCCCAATATTTGAGTACCTGTTATGAACGCATGAATATGCATGGGGTTCATGAATGAATGCCATGTCATGTTCTGTCATTTCTAAGGAATTCACATGCTTTGATTTTGATTTTGCGCAAGTAAGGGATGGAAGAGTTTAGCACAAGACTTGCAAATATGATTCCTTGGAAATGATAGAATATGTATGTTAAGCATATGGTAAGCCATGTTATGTATGCTAAGGCATGAGATTAAAGAGGATCAAGGTTCCATCATTTCTGAATATGATTGCTGCACTGCTTCTGAACCATATGAATATCACCAGATCAGAGGTCTGGCACAACTTCTGCATATATAAGAACCAAGTACTATATAGGTAACTAATTATACGAGATCAAGGCTTCTGGAACTGGATACCATTAAGCCTTTTCTGAATATGCTGGGAATGCCAAGATCAAAGGCCTGAATGAATCTCCAGGTAAACAAGTCAGGAACTCAAAATAAATCTGAGAACCATACAGTTACCAGCAGAAAATAGCATCTGAATAAAGTCATCAACAGAGATCCAGAACATAATCATTAGAACCAATAATCACTGTCTGATCATAGCCTCCATCTGGGCATGAGTAACCATCTGAACATAGTCACCAACTGTACCTGTAATAAAATTCCCTCCTCACTCACGGGTGAAGACTAGGTCAGGGTAAGACAATGGTAACTCGAAAATCACGGGTCCTCTTGAAAGTGCTATGGGCTTACCCACAGACGTGGGTGCCGATAGTAATTCATTTGAACCTCATCCAAGCGTGGTATATGACATGACTGCACTAATCGGACCACGTCCTATAGTCGTCATGCCCCTACTCTACTCCTAGGTGTCCTAGTGCACTCTGGCCTGGGTACTGGGCCTTTTACCTCAATAGTAACACCCATCCAACATGGAAAACCAGAATCCATCATAATAGATAACAAATAGGGAAAGCAATAAAATGTAATGCAAACTTATGCTCAGATAAACATGTACAAATGAGTAAACTGAAAGCATAAAAATAAACACCCAAAGAAAATAAAACAAGAGCTAGGAGCGACTCTGGGACGGACCAGCATTTGGTCGACCTGTCCCCAGTGAAGTCGCCAGTTGAAACAACCCGCTGAAAATCATCAAATAATGAAGTCGCTATCAAACGTCTTTTATCCCACAGGAAGGGAAAGGTAAACATCGAGAAAACCTGAAGAGGGTGAAATCAAGGTCAAACGACCAAGAGATGAGGGTAAGGGAGTCTGTTACGCGAGGGGAAGGTATTAGCACCCCACACGCCCCGTAGTACTCTACGGTATCCACTCTTGTTATCTATCTTATGGGTGTGTTCAATCTATGCTTACTGTTTATTACTGCTAAGGGGAGAATTCATGCAAAAGAAATGGAAAAAATGTAGGGAAAATAAAATTGTTGTGCTCATTCGGGCCCTACCCCGATGCCTACGTATACCTTTTAAGGAATCAGAGCAGCCGTAGTTTGGCTTATGTTTTTATTTGTTGGTTTATATTTTTTACTGAACAATATTAATTTAGCCTTCTGCCGCAACTCGACCTTCAGAGACTTACGCGTCAGCACATAAGTGAATTAACATGCTCTTTTGAAAAAGTTTGAAAGAGAGGCCCGAAGGCAAAAAGAGTTTGTATTGGTTGGTGTTTTTACTTGTAGATAACAGCTAGTTAATCTCAAGGGAGAGATTTTAGCCATGTCTCTACTTATTCTTGAAATGATTCTTTGAGACTTGAACCACGTCGAAGCCTAGAATAAGAGAATAACAAGGTCGAGAAGAAACCCGCTTATCATCTCCCGAACTTAGCAAAGACATGATTCTTGTCAGTAAATTCTTAAGTGTTTTGAGGTTTGTAAGGAAAAGAAGTTTCTTTTTTTTTTTGGCTAATGTATATGCAAAAATAAGAAGAAAAGTCCAGATGAGACTAGCCTATTTCTAAACCTAATTTTATTACACTTCATATGATCTATGGGAAGAGATAAATGCGAGGTGAAAATAGAAAGAAAATATACCAAACGAATACTAGCCCGTAGAGCAAAGCAGAAAAAGTAAAGATACTCGACGATCTCGTGAGCTGTTAGAATCAACAAAGAAAAGAGTTAGAAATCCAATACTCGGAATAAGCGTCGAAGCGTCCTAGATGTGAAAATAAATCACAATCGAAATTTCAAGCGTATCCACATATCGCATAATGAACCTGCATAAGATTTAAATCTCAACAAAGCAAAGGTGAATCATGAATTTCAAATAATCGGATAACCACAAATTAACTCCTAAGAAATAAAAAAAAATAAAAACCTAACAAATTCTTACGGATTTTTTATATTTTTATATTTTGCGAAGAAAATTAAAACAAGTATTAAACTATAATCAAAATTAAGAAAAAAAAGAAATTTGCAAATAGTGAGAACCAGCCCAGGAGGTGTAAGTTGTACAGGATGCCACTGCATAGCAATCCCAATTCAGATTCTAGGCCCAGTCCATGAAGTATTTTTTTTGTTATAGTTTTTTTTAGGCTTCACAAAAGGTACCTGATGGGCTTAGAGGGCCCTAAACTTGGTCTATAGCCCGTTTTCTACATCCTGTCAAATTTTGTTATGTTTGAATAAAATAATTTTTTTAAAATGAATTAAAGGAAAAACACAAATGCCAGCGGCGCTCTCTTCTTCATCGTTTCCCTTCTTCATCTCCTCACACTCGTATGCAGCTTCCGGTGGTGTCGCCGCCGCTGAACCCTTCTAATCACCCAGAGTATGAACCCGAATCCTTCCTCAAACTAAATCTTGATCGCAAATCTCGCTCCCAGACTCGCTAACTTCTCGTTAATCCATAACATCAACTCTTTTCTGAAACCCTAGTGAACTTGCAATTCGTGGTAGTGACGATGAAGTAACGGTGGCAACTACTGAGATCCTCCCTTACAAGCTACAAGCTACCGCTATATGTAAAGAAAACTATGAGGAGATAAATGATTCGAAGGTTTCCAAAGCTTACCGGACGGAATACAATCTAGGGAAAGTGATTATCAGCGAGATTCTTTGACTTCAGGTACGTACTTTCTATAACTCCAGTTACGTGAACTATTCCTCCACTCTTCTTCTTCTTTCCTTTTTCTTGCGTTTCTTTGTGATTTCCAAGTGCATGTATTGATGAGCTTTTGATAGGAAGGGGCGTAGGATTGTTGCGGTTGTCGTTGTGAGTTGTGTTTGAGTGAGATCGCAGGAGTGTGATTTGAGTTTACAGAGAGATGATTTGATGAAGATGAAGCAAGGTTTCGGAAGTAGGTGAAAAATGAAGAGTGGCTTGAAGGGTGGAGAGTATTGGTTAGAGAAGAAAGAGAGAGAATTCCGAAAACTTTTTGAGTTCTAGGTGAAAAAATGAAGCGTGTTGATGGAAGAGGATAGAAAAAAATGGTGGAGAGAGGATGAAGTTTTGGAACTGGAAAAGAGAGAGTAATGAGGTCCTTTGAAACTTGGAGGGAGTTTGGATTATATAGGTAGTTGAGGGAGATGGAAACGGCTATGTGAGAATCAATCTGAACCATTGATTTGAGTAGAGTTTGTTAGGGATTGAAAGGTGAGATTGAAAGTTTATTACAAGGTGGTTATGTTAGTTGGGCATTCTGTTTTTGGCTTAGGAAAACAGTTTGGAGTTTGTTAGAAAATTGTTAGAAATTAGTTATGGGAATTAGTCGTCAGTTAGAGGGTTTGTTTTGCAATGGCTGTCCATAGGTATTATCTTGGAAATATTAATCTGTTGCTGTTTTCCTATACTAGGTAAAGGTACTGTCTTAAAAATTTCATGAAGTTCAAATAGCCTTTCCCTTGAAGAGTCTCTCACAGGGGAATGGAGCTTGCAACCAAGTACATGGCAAACAGAAAGGTTCCAAATGCTCTCATTTTCTCCATTGATTCGCTTCTTTGATCTTAATTCTCAACTTCAAAGCCTTAAGATCTCGAAGTTCATTTTTTCTATATTTCTATGAGAAGCCTGTGATTGCGTGATTAGTTGCAAACAATTTGGTTGCTGTTGTAAACTCATTTGCTGTTGCAATTGTGCAGACTGAGATTGAATTTGTGGCATCAATTGCTGCCGTGGTGGTAATATTGACTGTTGGGTCATTGGTGCTTGTTGTTGATGAATAATAGAAGTCTATTGTTGCTTCCATCAAAGGACACTAACATCTTATTTCCCTTCCAAGAATGGAAAAAGCGGAAAGCCCTGTCATACTGACAACCTTCAACACATGCATTCAAAATGATGTTGAAACACTGTGTATTGGGTTCACAGCCAGACAAAAGCATTTCTTTAAATAACTGAATTGCCTGCTCCACATGCCCTGCGTGTGAAAATGCATTGATTAATGATGACCACGCAACAGTATTAAGAGAAACACCAGCAGAAAGCATGTCATGCTTAATTTTTTAGAGCCATTTGCCACAACTTTCCATCTGCAAAGACTTTTAGAATTGTGCTGTATGTAAAGAAACATCTAATTTCAGTTGTCCTACAGATTCCAAATGCTTAAGTTCTTTATACATGTCTTGGGCTACAATGGATTGGTTTACATTTAAGAACACATCTTTTTAGAATGTCAGATGGTTGAACGAGTTCTGCAATTGATGACTGGAAACGTGAGAAGACCTCCATCAGCTCAACAACTTCTTCAATGTGGCCACTTGTAACCAATTGAAGACACTCATTTGCAATGACAGGGGCATCAAGATGAGTAGATAAAGAAATCTTGGCAATACTCTCCACTTTGTTCAAACTCTCAATCACACTCCGAACATTCTTGCCTTTGATACCTACAAGAACCGCATTGGCCAATAGCTCAAGATTGACCTTGGAATCAATGTCACAGGTGTCGAATTGTTTGGGTAATGGCATGTCTTCTGGAAACACCACATCTACTTCAATAAAATAGTGAACACAAAAAGTGTATGCTCTCACAGTATCTATGTGTTTAACTTCTAAATGATGATTCCATATTAGATATGTCAACTTTGCTAGAAAATCAGGTGGTGTTGTCCTTCCAATAAGTGATGATACATTCTCAATCATTGTCTTCACCCATGTAATAATTGTGTACAGTGCTATAATAATAGCTCCCAATGGATCAATCCACCAATAGAACTTGACAGCCAACATAGCAGCAGCTAATCCAACTTGGAAATAATTTGCCTACCAGACCCAATCAAAATCTGCAATCCCAAGGTTGCCATTATGGATGCAAAAACAATGATACCCACTGGATGCATCCTTTTCTTTCCAATTGGATAATGATAATGGTTTGGTGTTTTCATGGCATTAGCAGTGAACCGCAATATGAACCCTGACAAGAGATCTAAGAGAGAATCCAAAGTGGATGCAATCACTGCTAATGATCTACTCTCAATTGAAACATACACTTTGGCTGCAAATAACACCAAGTTTACTGCATTTGACACGTTAACTGCTAGTCTCACACTTTTTTCTAATTGCTTCATTTCATCCTCGGTAATACTTCCTGGGAAAAGTCCAGTTCCAGTCATGGTATCCATATCATTATATCCCTCAAGGAGCCTCTCCTGTTGTTTGTAGTATTCTGCAACCTTGCGTTGCTTTTTTTTTGGTTTACTAACAAGGCCACTGAAGGTGGAGGAACATGGATAGTGATCATGATCATGATGATGGAAACTCAGAGATTATTATTAAGGCATGAAAGTTTTGGGGGCATGGGGACATATTAAAGATTAGACCCAGGATAGGTTCGTGGTGTAAATGGCTTGATGTAATCTTCTTGCTATTTGTGATGTACTTGAAATGATAATGTGAACGGTGACCTTTGATGTAATGATATCCTCTTCAATCATTTCTCTTCTTTCAATTTAGAATTCACATCTTCGAACCTCATTGATTTTTTGCCTTTTGCTCTTGGATTTCTACTTAAGAATTCTATCTTAAAAATGCTTGAAAACCTTGAATGATATTGCATTATAGTCACTTGAACGGTGAATGACATTTGGGATTTTATGATCTTGAAGTTTGAAATAGCCTTGGACAAATCTTGCATCATTATGCATGCGTAAACTTGATACTTGCTCTAAATATCAGATAACTTGCTTCTCAAGAAATCCACACGAATCCTTTACTAACCTTGCATGCTCGGTAAATAAATCAAAACCTAAATTCTCATGATATTTCTTCTTGAAATAATCTAAAGCAAACTCCGTGATCAGAATTCCACCTTCCTGAATGAAACCTGATTCGTGAAGAAGGTCCAACTGAATCCTCTTTCTAGAATAGGGTTATTTTCCACATGATTAGAGATTCAAGCGACGATTTCCTTCCTATTTGCCAAAGATATATCAGTTTAAACCATGATTATTCATGGACGATATCCCTTGATTATAACCTTGCCTGATGATCACAACTTCCCAGAGGAACCTCTCTTGAATGGTGCATGACCAAAGGATGAAGTTGAGCACAAGAAGATAATAAATGCCTGATTTAGTAGCCTTTTAGATGACCTCGTAGAACAACTTAGAAATGAACATAGGGATATAGAAAGAAATATGACCAAGTTGGCCATGACTTAGAAAACCTAATGAACCTCGGTTGATGAAATGCTGTCAAGCACAAACTTGATGGAGAAATATTTTGGTTCTTGTCTCGAATGTATCTGTATGAGTAATAACCCCTTAATCTTATTGGATACGAACACCTTATCCGTTGTGAAACCCTAATATCGCACAACCACTGAACTTTGAACCTTAGGCGATTTATTGAATGCAAATGTATATTAATGACCTAATGGAATATATACATATATGAATGCAAGAGTCTAAGCCAGATAGAAGAAATTAGGAGGGCAAATTTTGGGGTGCAACAGTTTCCCCTATTTAATCGCCTTCAACTTGAAGGTGAGATTGGCGTCAGCCTTTCGAACTTTTAAGGTGGAAGAAGATTAAATAGTTAAAAGAACCCGAAAATTTGCGCTCCAGAGCCAGTAAGGTATTATTATTTTTCATTTTCAGAGTCTATTTTTTATTATATTATTTTTTTATCACAGTGGTTAGCTGAGTAAATCTCTTGGACGTCAGGTCAAGGTTAGACACACAAAAGAAAGAGACCGGCCGAAGGAGGATCTGACGAAGGAACACCAGTCAAAGGCGAACTTTACTGAGAAAAGAGACCAAGCGAAAGGGACTCCCGACAGATGATACCAACCGAAGATGGATTTTAACAAATGATACCAGCCGAAGCGGGATTTTTAGCGAAGGATACCTGCCGAAGCGGGTTTTTGAAAGGATACTTGCCGGAGCGGAATTTTGAAGGATACCAGCCGGAGCGGGATTTTGAAAGATACCAGCCGAAGTGGGATTTTGAAAGATACCAGCCGAAGCGGGATTTTGAAAGATACCAGCCGAAGCGGGAATTTGAAAGATACCAGCCGAAGCGGGATTTTGAAAGATACCAGCCGAAGCGGGATTTTGAATGATACCAGCCGAAGCGGGATTTTGAAAGATACCAGCCGAAGTGGGATTTTGAAAGATACCAGCCGAAGCGGGACTTTGAAAGATACCAGCCGAAGCGGGATTTTGAATGATACCAGCCGAAGCGGGATTTTGAAAGATACCAGCCGAAGTGGGATTTTGAAAGATACCAGCCGAAGCGGGATTTTGAAAGATAAAGGTATGCATATCTGGTCAGAGTTAGATACACAGGAGTGGAATTAAGCAGGACCTTTAAAGAGCACCAATCGAAGGTGAACTCTACAAGAGAAAGAGACTGGTCAAAGCAGACTCTAATAAAAATTGCCAAAACACGTTGGGCTTTTGATAGGTTGCAAATACGTAAGAACTAAAAATCCCTCAGGCCAGAGGCGGGATGTAATTATTCAAGAGTGGCAATTGTCTAAACTACCACACACCAAGTATGGATACTCAAACACTTGAGAAGCAAGAAAGGTTATGCATCAACTCTTACTCACACTCTAACGGTAAAGCAAACACGGGTAAAATAACCAAAGGCTTGCAAAGGCAAGCGCGAACCACAAACTTACTAGGGGAACGGAGAAATACCAAAGACCCGACTGGTGGTGAATCAAAACAAACTCTGATGGGGAAACATCATAGAATTTCCATAGGCTTGTTTATAGAGATGAATCAAATCTGAGCGTATAACAATCTGGTTACCACAGGTGGACACAATTGGCTTATACTCATGCATGTTTGAATTTTTTTCATAGCGTAATGCTCCATGCAATGGAAATGCTACGCGTTTTAGTAGATGCAATGTAATAATGCAATGTAATGATGCAATGCATTAGTAAAACAAATCAACAATCGGCTGCTGAGAAGACAAAAAACTTCCGAATGATTATTCTTTCCCATCTGATCTTTTATAGAGAAAAGGAAATTTTTACTTCAATGGGGAACCAAGATTTGGAAGCACTAACCTCTAAAGATCGAAATCACTGGGGAATTAACATCCTGGGAAGAATGCTGCAAATGTAAATTGCAGTTCAGAGAAAATCTTGAATTCTAATCAAACTCCCAACTTTACGGGGAATAAGTTCTTTATCCTCTGTTGGAAAGAGGAAAGCTATGCTGGGAATGGAAACTTCTGGCATATGAATTCTTTGACGAAGATAACTTCTGTTGGGGAGTATAGAAGTTCTTAAATAAAAGGAATTCTACTTGGACCACACTGGGGATAACATTACTGGGAGGTAAAAGATCCTCACTTGGGGAAGAAATAAACATCCCGGGATAAAAATTCCACTAGGGATATCTCGACAAAATCTTCTACCATTGGTAATGAAAGAGTTATGACTGGAATTCTCCTGTACACCTCACCAGAGAGATAGGACAATTGCTCCATTAGGGAAATAAGAATAGTTCCACTGGGGAAATTGGATCTCATTATACGAAAAATCCTCATGTTACCCTTCTTGATTCATTAGTTGGTATGCTTCTTGTCATACAAGACCAACCGTACTTGCAAAACAGAAGTTGGGGCGACATGCCCCTGTTTGGAATGAAAAACCTTACTGAAGAATAAACAATTTGAACTATCAATCACCGGGTAAAAAATCGTGATCCAAGATAGCAACCTCAACACGTCGACTCCGAGGAGAAATGCCACTAAAAAGTGGACTTTAGAGAAGATGCTTGCAAAAATAAATTGCAGTCCGATGAAAAAGAATCATCTAGACTTTAAACAACTTCTACATTTCCAGGGAGAAAGAACATTCTCCTCCTGCAGAGAAATGAGGATGCTTCACTGGGGAGAAAATATCTCAAAAGAGAAAACCCTTGGTATACAGGTCTTTGTCAAGTAGCAACTGGTCTTTTACTGGGAAGAGGCATCCCCCTAGGAAGCAATATTTCCATCGCGTCTTGTACGAGTAAAACACCCAAAATGATCGTTGCGTTACTGCTCATATCCTACTGAGGATAACAATCCAAACTTCAACTGAGGATAATAACCTTGACTCAGGACAAAGGATATCAGTAAATGGACTTGAGTCTCTGATAAGCTGAAGATAACAATCCTGACTTCTTGGCATGATTTTCAAATTCATAGGTCATTTAGCCTGTGTATGGATTTGATTTGATCAACTAATGAAGAAGAGAGAAAGCCCTTACATAAATTCTTGCCCCAGTCCATAAGGCTTTTGTAGAAAATTGCCTTGAGAGGACTTTTTGAGATATGTACCGCAAAGATAAACTGCCCCAGTGTTATGAACTTCCGAATACTGCCCCTGGCTGACCAAAGTTGGAAATAGTTTCAACAATGCTTGATTGAATTCTCGTGCATCTATAAATTCTGAAAAGATTCTCCCCTAATCAACAAATTCTTAGAGATATTTATCAAATCTCGACATGACTGCCCCGGTTTGACTGTACTTCGAGGGATCACATCCCGACTTGAATGCCTCAGATTGGCTGCATACTTACTCGACGGAGTATTCGACGCACTTTCCCCTGCTTAACAGAGTCTCGACAAACCTTTTCCTTTACCTCATGCTCACAGAGGATTTTTTGAAGACAACGTAACCTTAGAGTGGTTGGATCATATCTTGAATGTAGGCTACTTCACAACCATACCTCTCAACTTGAATTGCTTTAATCTCTAATCAGCTACTTGACGAATTCTACCCCTCGGTACCAACTGAAAGTAATGCACCACTGCTTGACAGAGACTCTGGACAACCAACATTTGCAATCTACTTCAGATCATTTCTCAAACTGGTATTATTTTACTCAACAAAGTCAATAGAAGATTTGCCCCAGATTAAGACCATTCTCACAAATGATTTCCCTAAACGGTATCCTGAAGTAATTTGTCCCTTGAGATGATCAAATTTTCATCTGATGCTCATTATTCAAACTTACTTGATGTTTAAGCACTTGTTTATATGCAAAAAATGTTTATTCTAAGAATGGTAATTGTAATGCAAAGCTTATGTTTGTCTTGAAGTTAAAAAAAAAACTTGTATCAAAAATATGTTGAAATATCGGAAAATTTTGTACAAAAGATAGTAAAAGATGGAGTGATATCAACACAAAAGTTTTTTCAAGCCTCTTAGGAGTCAGATTACCGTATTTCTTGTTACAGTGTGCTTTCGAATTAACCCTTGCTCCAATTAGGACTTTTCAGGGTTGTAACATGGCCTGGTTCATGGTTTTAGAAAAATGGATTTAAGGCTCAAAATATTTGGTGCCCACCCATTCTCCATGATGTTCTCCAGTCCTAAGTTCAGTTAAACCAATACGAGCACTCATCTCTCAAGAAGAGTTTACCGTGGTCGAGGAGGATATGGCAGTCACTCACCTCTCTCGTTTTTTGTGTCTGATCACACGACTTTATTCTTTGTTAAGGATTTTTATTTGGTGATCCCCTTTTTATCTTTTTGCGTTTCTCGCTTTCCTTTTGTATTCCCTAACTTTTTCCTAGACAAATTCCTTTTGATTTTGACTTTGAAGTCCAGCGGGATTCCCTGACTTTTTCCTAAGCGGCTTGTTTTTTCAAGTTTCGGCTTAGCGGGGCTTTTTGTCTCTTTCTTTTATTTTGGACCAGTCGTGTGATTTTGAGTCGTTTTTTGACTTGTTGAAAAAGGTGTAACTGCCTTACTATTTGGTTGACGAGGAATAACCATTATAGTATCGTCATCTTTTGATCTCTTGATGTGCGAGAGATATCTATTGGGATATCAACCTCGTTGATATGCACTGCTGATAGATGAGAATTAACCATTGTGGTTTTGACTTTCCTCAACCTCTTGATGGATAACCATTGATGTATCCTTAGATGTGCGCTCCTGATGAGTTTTGAACGCCCAATCAGATTAAATGAAATCTACCCTGCCCCGGGTTAAATGTGAGGTTTTTTCTGAAAAGAAAAGAAACTCCTACTTCAAGGCTCAAAGGGGTTGACGAGGGTTTTACTCCCTTATA